CCCGTGTCGGTGGCGCCCAAGAGCCCGGGGAGCTGCAGCAGCAGCTGCATCCCTAGTTCCAGACCCGATGGACCCTGTTGGTGATTTGCATAAATTTCCCTGCCCCTAAATGAGCCCTCCCCTGGGCCACTCGGACGCGCTGGTCTCTCCTCTGCCCTGGTGGGTGGCCAGGCCCCCGGCTGTTTGTGCAGATGAGACGGGGCAGTCAGGGCTGCCAGAGCGCCACGGGGCCCGCGAAGGGTGGGAGTCAGTCGAACCGAAAGCAGATCCCAGCTGCCCGGTCCTGCCCCAGCCCTCTGCTGCTCCTGGGTTCTGCCCCCGTCTCCGCGGTGCAGGGCGGGCTGGAGAAGACGCACCCTCTCCTCATGCACAGGAGAGGCAGGCGGGAGCCGTGCTGCCCTCAGCATGTCTTGGATTCGCTCCCTCCTTTCTCCAGGCGCAGGGCAGGGAGGGGCGTGACCGGCCCGGGGGTTCCTCCCGCCCCAGCAAGGCTGCAGCGTGTAGCCCCCGACTCGCGCTGCAGGCGTTTTGTTGGCTCCTGAGCCCAGCTCGGCCAGGCCGGGCTGTGTGGGGGCCGCGCCTGGGCAGCGAAGCACAGCGCACGTGTCTGGCTCGGGCAGAGGGGCGAGGAGGAGCCCAGGGAAGGAAGGGTGCTGGGGGACTCCAGGCAGCTGGCCCTCAGCACTCTCCGGGGCCCTGCTCACCCAGGCGGGGATGTAGCCAGGGAGCAGCCCTGTGGCAGCGACACTTAGCTAGTGACGTGGCCACGCTCCCAGTGAGTCGGCCGTGTCCTGCTGCCTGGCCTTGGTCTTCTGTGGACTGTCTGGTGAGGCGCATGCACCACGACGGCTTCCTTCGTAATGCGACTTCTTCTCTGTCCTGTGCTTTCCCTTGCAGGGAGGAGTGAAAGTCCTGATCACAGGCCCGTGGCAGGAAGCCAGCAATAACTACAGCTGCCTGTTTGATCAGATCTCAGTGCCTGCATCTTTAATCCAGCCAGGAGTGCTGCGCTGCTACTGCCCAGGTAAGGGGCCCAGTGACCGGGCTGGGCTAGCGCTGGGTTAGGAAATTGCCCTTGTGCCCGGCCCGCTGCCGCAGCGCTGGGTGTTCGGGCAGGAGCTCGCGGTGGCTGTTCACTTTAGCATTGCCCAGCCAACAGCCCAGCCGGCACAGCCTGCTTCCTGGGCTGGCCAGAGAATGACCTGGCAGGGGAAGGGGGCGTGCACCCCCAGGTCACACTGCCGAGCAGCCCCAATTGCTGAGGCCTTGTGGTGTGGGACTAACCCTCTGTGCCCAGCACAGCTCTAAGGAGCACTTCCCCGTGCAGGGCTCCCTCCCCCTGCCAGGGGCCGCACAGCGCGAGGGGCCTGGCGAGGTCGCTCTGAGCCCGGACACTGCTCTGCGGACACGAGCCTGGCCAGTGGGCCCAGCAACACAGCCCAAGGCCGGCCCTGCCTCGTGCAGACACACTGAGGGCGGGCGGCCGGGAGCGCACACTCAGTTCTCTCCCGGGGTAACGTGGGACGAGGCCTTGCACGCAGGATAGCATGTGAGGAGCACCGGAGAACTGGGCCTTTCAGCTAGAGTGTGGGAGGTGAGGCTGGGAGAGGAACACTCGCCCCGGCGAGATGGGGGGTGATGGAGTTGACCTGCCAGTGAAATGGGGGTGATCTCGCAGGGCACTGCTGGCATATGTGGTACCACGAGGGGCTGGCTCTGATCTTTCACCTTCCAGCTCCACAAGCTTCCCCTCTAGCTGCCGGGAGACTCGCCCACCCACCCTGGCTGGCCTGTCTCTGCAGGCTGCTCTGCAGCCCACCAGGGTGGGTGTGCACAGCACACTCGCCTACTGTAGACCATGCAGACCAGCCCGAAAGCCATGGTGTCCTCAGCTGCTTCCTCTCCTCTAGATGCTCACCTTCCCTGGCACTCCCTGGCATTGGCAGCCATCCCCGAGGCTTTCCCACCCGACCGATGCCATCCTGTAGCTCCAAGCTGGGAGCACGTTAGCGAGAAGGTGAATTCTGTGGGCCAGGGATTTGTCTCTTCCTGCATCCCTCGTATTAGAACTAAAAGTAAGTTTCTTCCAAGGGACTGGAGTCTTCTGCTCTTTGTGCTGCACATGAGCAGACACCCTCTCACCCAAGGCGAGAGGCCAGTGCCTCGACAGACCATGTGGCATGGCACAGTCGCCTCACACTGATCTACCGGGGGCAGGAGGAGTGAAGAAAAGCAGAGTCTGCGTTTGGAATGGACTTAGGGTACTGGTAGCAGCTGGGACTCATGCAAGCTGCTTCCCCCATGTCTTCATTGCGATTGTGCTCCCTTGCTTCCGCTGCATAGCTGCATAGCGTTCCTGTCCCTGAACCACTGCAGTGCCCTCTGGCGCTGCCGTGTGACACAGCTGGCTAAACAAACTGGAAAGTCAGAGCGTGATTTAATCAGCCAAAGGGAATGGGTAAGTCCTAGAGCACAACTATTTTCATGTCTGGTTGAATACAAATAACAAAGAAGTGAATTGGAATGGAGTGAATCCATGTTTTCAACCTTAGCAGCAGAGTGCAGGTTCAATCGATGCTGCCCAACGTCCAGCCCACCCTCCAGGCACTGCGGATAGCGATCCGACAGGTATTGCTTTTCTGGAGCAAGAAAACAAGAAGGAAAAAATACTCAGTGGGTGAAAAGACACAAACGATAATAAGAGCCTTGATTGATTAACCAAGGGCAGCAAAGCAAGTGACTGCAGAAGGAAATTGAAAACTGGCACGATACAATAGCAGTAGCATGACCAACAGAGTGTCAGAGAGAGACAACTTCCATGCCATTTGTCTTCCACATTGGAGTAAAAACAAACACGTTATTGAGTTTAAAGGATCATAAGAAATCATGGGAAAATTGAAGTCTTTGACAACTTCTGAAGTTTAAGGAATAATAATAATTGTCTCTTACGTGGCACTTTCCATCTTCTAAGAGGTCTACAAATGAGTCATTAATTAGTGACTCCTCCTAACAGCTCTGAGGTGCACTAAGTAAATAGTTGCACCTGCATTTTACTGATGGGTCAACTGAGGCTGAGAGGATCATGTCGCATTGAAGCCACAGAAGGACTTAGGGTCAGAGCCAGCCCCAGGCTCCTAGCACAATGTTTGATCTGCATGAAAACAATAACTTCCCTGTAGCGTCAGAGGAGATAAAATAATGCTGAGTTATTTAGTAATCTTTTAATCACTCCCACATGTGTGTGATCTGCGTCTTCCGCCAGTGAGTCTGCAGTCACGGCACCCTCTGGGTCAGTTAGTCCTGATACACATCTCTGACTTCCCAGCTGTGCGCACTGTTCTCCGACGCCCTTCTCTCGTGCAGAACCAAACTGCATCGCGCCTCTGGTCTCACCCCGTGTTCTTTGTTTTTAGCTCATGACACCGGGCTTGTGACTCTGCAAGTTGCCTTCAACAATCAGATCATCTCCAACTCCGTGGTGTTTGAATATAAAGCCAGAGCTCTGCCTACCCTGCCTTCCTCCCAGCACGACTGGCTGTCCCTGGACGGTAAGGAGACCATTCCACGTCCCTAGCAAAGGGGCCCCACATGGCACAGCAGGGTAGCGCGGCAGCTCCTGCTGTGGGCTGGGAGAGGAGATGGGTTTGAGCCGTGCTGAGATTCACTTGCTCGTTGTTTCAATATTACTCCATTCAGAGAGCATTTGATGAAACTTCTCATTGTCTCATTGGGAAGCCTGTGGACCAAAGCCTGGTCCATTTGATGGGGGTAGGGAGCTGCTTCCTCTGTAATAGAAAACTGACAGCCCCGAAGAAACGGGCCAGCCCCAAGGCATGCGGCTCTGTCTGTCTAATTCTCATGGGCCTGCACATCTAGGAGCAGGAGCAGGGTAGCCGTTCTTTGGTGTGCATGGTTCGAGGACGTGCCTTTCTCAAAAATGCCTCATCCCCCATTCTCAGTGGGAATGGTGAACAAACTATAAAATCATGAGACTAGCCAGGCCGCTGAGGCCATCTCTCATGACCTGACTAGAATGTGGTCACCTTTGGCTGGATGTCAGAGCTGATCCATTATTTGCAACCTCAGTGGGAACATCTGCTTTACCCTTCATCTTCATCTGCGCCCCTTTGTACCTGAGGAGGGTTGTAAGAAGTATGGAGAGAGAAACAGGGGAGTTCTCTTCTCTCCAGGGAGAATTGAGTTGCCACATAAATTCATGCTGCCAGCAGATGTAAAACTTGTTAGTAGGGAAGGAAAGAGACAAAATTTGCAGCTGCTATTGTATCGCCTAGGAAGCAACTGGCCCACTGACTAGTTTGTTACTTTTGTAAAGCACTGCTGGAAGTGTATTGCTTTTCTCTCCTGCTAAGCATTAGGCAAGTTGCCAGTGTTAACTAACTGGACAGCCACTTCATTTCCCTTCCTGTCTGTGATTGCCAAGGGTTCGTGCCTTCCAGCATGAGCCCTGGAGACCCAGGGAAAGTGGCTGACTTGTCTGAGCAGCCTTGGCAGTCTGGAACGAGACCCGGGCAGTTTACCATTTTTGCATCCCTTTGTTCACGAGAGTGTTGATTTGCGAGGCACTGCAGTGTATTCTGTGCAGTCTTAGAAAAAATCCTAACATCATTATTTGTGGATCCATTCATTTGACAGTTCTGTATTCTCATCTAATCCACTGGGCAAATCTGGTTTAGCAAAATCTCTACTATTCAGAGAACCAGGAGCTAATAGAGAACTGATTTACATTACATAAAAGAAGTCCAGGGAAAATTAGCTTGTACAGGTGTGTTCTAGATTCTCGCCAGGGCGGGAAGAAACGCTCACCAGCGTCACCGCCTGGCCTGCTTCCGACAGAGAACGTGTCCTACACAGTTTCTCACGACAGTTTCCCGCAAGGTTCTCAACTGTCCCCTGACTTTTGCACACAGGGAGGGTAGGGAGACCTGGGCCCGCCCTCTCTCCAGGTCTCAGCCCAGGACCCTAAGGACAGGAACGCCAACTTCCTGTCTGGCTGGCGGGACTAAGCTGCAACTCACCAGCCCACAGGCTCCCGCTCCGCCCTGTCCTGGGCTGCTTCCTCCCCTCCTGCAGTGCTCCTGAGAGCCACTCACCACTCGCCACTCCGCTTGGCCTCTGTTGGCGACGTCTCCCCCGCTGGCCGGCTCGTTTCATGCCCTGCTGTTGGGTGCGCTTCCCCTTCCCGGCTCGCCGACCTCTCGAAGGGCTTCTTCCCTTTTTAAAGCCAGCGCCCTTGCTAAGGGACGCCAGCGCATGTGTGGTACTGCTGGCCAGCTTGGCATTGCCTGCAGAGCCGCACGTGCGCCGGCACCGACACAGAGCGCCGCGGTAGTGCGGGGGACGGGACTCTGCGTCAGCCCTCGCCACCCCGTCACAAGGGGTGATATATGCCACACTGGACCGTGGGAAATGGATTAATATACTGGTTCCGCTAACTCTTCAGTCCAGTGATTTTCAACCTTCTTTCCTTTATGGACCCCTACAAATGTCCAAGGGAGGTGCAGGCCCCTGTGGAAATCGGAGGCGTAGCCTATGGACCACCAGGGGTCCGCAAACCACAGGTTGAAAACCTTCACGCTAATCACTTACCCGCACACTGGTCGGTCTGCTACAGCGGGACAGACCCTACATGTTTGCTTTAGGAAATTCACCTGGGAGGTATCGTTACTGGATATGATTTTTAAATAAGAAGTTACTGGAATGAAGGCAGTGTGAAGTAGACTGCGTTTCCTAGAGCGAGCGAATGTAGAATACACTCACATTCGCCATGACTCAACTGGAGAAAACCTCAGCCTCAACCTGATTCAGCCTGGCCACAAACCAGCAGGAGTCTGTGCTTGGAACTTTTCCATGGAAGCCTTTGGCAGGCATCTGCTCTATTTGGATAGTCCCAAACTTTATCGGGTTCTTTCTTGACAGTGAATTATGAATCTGATTAGCTGAGACAATTGGGTGGGGCAAATTTTCTGGGATTCTCTGGTGCCTTGTACTGGCAGCGCACATAATATGACATCAAGGGTACGTCTAGACTACAGGCTTTTGTCGACAGAAGTTTTATCAACAAATACTGTCAACAAAGAGCGTCTAGACTACATCCAGTTCTGTCAACAAAGCAAGCCGCTTTGTTGACATGACAGTGGAGATGCAAAGGACAGTCTAGATGCAATAACGCCTCCTGGCCACAGAACTCTGTCGACAAAACGTGTTATTCCTCGTAGAATGAGGTTTACCACCGTTGACAAAACTGCTGAGTTCTGTCAACGTTATGTCGACAGAACTCAGCAGCAGTGTAGACGCAGGTATAGTTTTGTCGACAAAAGTGGACTTTTGTCGACAAAACCCTGTAGTCTAGACACACCTCTAGAGATGATTGTGGTAGATGCATAACAAATATCTCAGAGCAATGAAAATGAACTTGCAGGAAGCTCAGTAGAAACCATTTTCAGTTGCTTTCTGAGAAAGTGATGTCTACGTCTGAATGCTGCATTTGAGCTAAGCTCCCACACCCACCAAGAAACACTAATTCCTCTGAACCGTGGTGTGTGGGATTTTGGTGGTCTGCTACATTCACTTCTATGATTCCCCACTATTATAGCAGTGTACTGGTCACACGTCACTGCCGTTCTCTGTCTGCCTACCTGCCTGTTCACCCACCCACACCACCCATCTACCTGAGTGCTCATGGCTTCAGTTTCTCTTAGGGTACGTCTACACTAGCCCTCTCGTTCGAGCAGCATTCCATGAGGTTTAACTGCTAATTCGAACTAAGGGGTTTATCTCGGAATCGTGCTTCTCTGCTGCATGTAGACGCGGGCAGTTACTTTGGGCTAGTCAGTTTCCAAATGGCGACCGGCTGAGAATATGCTAATCAAGTGCGGGATATTTAAATCCTGCGCTTCATTAGCAATTTTGGTCACCCTCACTAGCCTCCCTAGTTTGAAGTAGGGGGCTAGTGTCGACATGTCCATAGCTTCCGGGTTTGGGGGAAGCGACATGTGTGAGGTCTTACCTGTAGCCAAAAGCAGTTTTGGGGAAGCCGTGGCATTGCTTGATCAGCCATTTCTGAGCACGACGCGTGTGTGGAAAAATCACGTTTTCCACTGTCAGAAAGAACAAATGTGCTCAAGAGCATCCCATGCCAGGCTCTCTCGGCAACGCAGTTTGGGGCCGGGAAATAGCCCTTGAGAAGGAGCCACATGTGACCATGTGCTGGAGGAGGAAACTGAGTCTGATCTCACCTTGCTCTGAACATTTGAGACTCATGCAGCCAGCGTGTGCTGTAGATGTTTTTCGCCGAGCTGGAAAAGGGTGTCTGTTGCATACAGATGGCTGCGCTCTACAAAGATACGTAGGCCTCAAGCGATCACTTGTGCTGATGGACTCGGGGAAGGGGCTGGTTCCTCAGGATTGTGTCACGTGGCAGAGGGTTCCATAGGCCCGTGGGCGGTGTCAGGAGAAGGTACCCCAGTCCTTTTCGGAAGACACGGGAGCAGCATGTAGCGTCCTGGGCAGCTTGGATCCTGCTCATTTGTCCTGCCTGAGATGAAGACCACCCTGCACATTACTGCTGGCTTGTTGGCAGTGCAGCCTTTCCCCTTTATCTGCCCTGATCCTCTCGGCTGGGCTAATCGTCTCTCTTCCGTGGCGGGAGGAGTCATGTCTTTCTGATACACACATACGGGGCTCGTCACACTGTCTGATGGCTGCTCCTTTGTGCTTTGCTGGCGTATTGTCTGTAAGGCGAAATGCGTGGGAATATCCTGTCTCCACCGTGTGAAATCCCTTCCCCAAGGGTAAGGGCACCCGATGCAAAGCGCCCTGTAGTAGCTGCCATGCAGGTTCTGGGAGCTGTACAAACAGGAAGGCAGGGAAGACCCGGCCGCAGCGAGCTTAGGCCCAGATTTGCAAAGGCAGCCAGGCGTTCCTGCTCCGGCATTGCAAGGCCGCGGCGCTTAGAGGCGTGTCTGCGTCGCAGCGAGGTGCCACGGCCGAATCAGCATTCACTAGCCCCGCTCAGGCTGCCATCTAAATCCAGCGGAGAGGGCAGCTCGAGCTGTCTGGGCCTGACTTTGGGTGGCTAGTTTGAGTCTCTACTGCAGCGCGCCGTCAGCACTCTCCTGTTTGGTGCGTTGACTGAAGCCGAGCTGGCAGGAGCCTGTCTCCCTGGGCTGAGAGGCCCACTCCCCACTGCCCTGGAGACAGACCCTCTGTCTGATTTTCAGAAGTGACTGAGTCTCTAAAGCCCATTGACTTCCACCGGGAAGACAGGATGGGGCATTCAGCCAGCTGGTCACAGGTCAGAGAAGGGTTTGCTTGGTAGAGTGTCATTTCATCCCTGATCGGAGTTGGTAGGGTTGTGCATCTTTTCTTTCTTCAGGTGTCTTCCCTGAATTGTAACCATCAGGCAGCAGCTTAGCTTTGGGGGAGCTAGCAAGAGAGACCCACAGGAGCTAATGCTACTAGCCCCTCTGGTTGCAGTGGAAGTTAGATGACTGAAGGCTGTGGGGAACCAACGATGGGAATGGGAAGG